ATACTTTCCGTTGCCGCATAACTGAATACGAGGCACCGCCCTGCGTCTGTGATGGAATGTAAACGAAAGCCTCGAACAATTTCAACCCGGATTCCCAACCCGGAGAGGTGGATGAAATGTCCTACAACCTGGCGGCCCTCGTGAAGCACCAGAAGGTCATCGTGAAACGGCGTACCACCATTGGGCGAGCCAGGGCCTTTGCTTTAAGATCTCAAGCAGCTTAGGTTTAGGGTTTAGGGTTTAGGGTTTAGGGTTTAGGGTTTAGGGTTTAGGGTTTATACCTGCTGGTCCTTCGTAGGAGAATCCGGGAATGGCTTGTGCTGGCAAAGGGGCTGTCGGGACGCGATTGGGATCCATTCCAAATTTCCCTAGTAAGAAGCACTTCTACGAATACGAAGGCCTTCTGAAGGGTCTATATCTTGGCAAGCTTGTGTCCAGCCACACTCGAAAGAAGGGTTCCTATCACGAATCCTGAATCCTGCAACTGCCTAGCACCCCAAGATTTCCGGATCGGAGCCACAATCCATACCCCTAAATTTCTGAAGTGTCTTGACAAGGCTTCCATTTGAGAGGATTTTCGGCACTTCAAAGTTAAGTGTTTAGCACCCAGGCCTGCTGACCCTGAGCCCATCCTGTCAAACCAAGATGGCTGTAATTAGGGTGGAGTCGCAGGGGGGTTCAGAGGGTTCAGGGTTCAGCAAAAGGGGTTTAGGGTTTAGAGTCTCAGAGACCGCGCCCAGGTGGACAGATAGCTAGGGGCCGCTGTCTTCATCGCGCTGTTGGCTCGCCATTTTTGATGTCGGCTCTGGCAGCCAAAGGGGCCGAGGGAGTTGGATTCAGGGTCTCAAGAGACCAAAAAGCATCTTGCGCCTTCTTTCAAATACTCATGGCAACTTTGCTGTACCCTGGCCTTGAGCCCAACAACAAAATCTAGGTGAATCTCGATTCCCCACATGTAAACGCACCAGACATGTATTGGTACCGCTGGAGCGGCGGTAGGTAGTTTTGACCGCGACAGGAACAGCAGCATCAACCGGAGCCCTCAAAGAAAGGCGGCGCAGTTTCGCTCACAGCCACGCACATCCCAGACTACAGCGCATACCACTTTCGAAGTGGAGCCCTCTCCCTAAGGGAGATATAGCTGCCGCCTGGCATGCGGGGCTACATGCTCCAAAATTTTTGCAAGCGCCAAGTATGGTGCCCATGATCCCAGAACTTTCTCAGCCCCTCCCCATCCGGCATAAGCTCTGTAAGGCTGGAAAGGATCAAGGATCACAAGCCCCCCCAAGAATGATTCAATGTCGGGTTGAGAGAATGTTCCTTGTGCATGAGGCGGCGACTTGAAAGTTCAAGGACTCTACTTGGCTCTGAGGCTGCAAGGCTTAGCAACTCTCTGGAGCCAGCTTGAGGGGGTTTGGAGAGTTTCGGACTGACAGCTTGGGACTGGATGTGCGAGCGAGGGCTCAAGGTCCCTGATCGGCTAAAGGTTTCTAAGGGTTCGGGGGTTGGCTCGATCCCTTCCGACCCCCTCTCAGCGGCTTCGATTTCCATGGGAGGGACGTAGAATGGCTGTTAAGGCCTTCACGGACGCCGCGCACAGGCGCCGAAATGATTTGGGGAGGTTTCAGACCCTCAACGACCTCCCTAGATCTCTATAGCCTCCGCAGAAGTTTTTCGATTGTCAGATCCGGTTGCCCCGAGCTGCAAATGCAAATCATGATCCAGGGCCTACAGGCCTAGGGGCTTCAAGGTTTTGGCAGTTTGGGTTTGCATTTGGGGTTGAAGGGGTTTGGGGTTTACGAGTTGAGGGTTGAGGACTTCAGGGATTTTGTATTAGTGGAGTTGCAGTCTACTTGCGCTCTAAAACGTTTTGCAGACTTCTTGCCTACAGACTTGGAGCTTTAGGCCGCTGGAAATTGATCTGCAGGTCCTCCTCCAGGCGTTTTGTTTGTCGTAGACGTCTAGTTTCGTATGTGCTAGAGCGCACGTTGCTCTTGCTAGAGTCGTGCTACAATTGTGCTTAAACTCAGTCTATTTCCACCTTGAGCCCCGAACTCGAAACCCGATTTGGATTCATACCGACCAAAAGAAGTTCTTCTATTCCAGCGTACTGTTCGCAAGGCGGGTTGTCGCTTTCATCCACCACGAAAGGATCCAAGTGGCCAAGTAGTGACAAAGAATAAGTCCTTTAGCTACTTAGTTATTCTTTCTGTGGCCTGGTTGTCACAAATCTCAAGTGCATGGCTCAGGGGCAATTGTGACCTGCATTTGGTAACCCTAAACCCTTCTTGGAAGATTCTGTCAGTACAGTAGGGAGTAACCCGAAATCCTAAACAGTCGCAGAATGTTTAAAATGGTCCCCTTTCTCAGTAGTGGGTTCTCTGACAAATGCGAGCGCAGAGCGAAGCTCTTGCTCTCTCTCGTAGCCTGGCGGCTCTTCTCCTACTGGCTCTTACCGTGAGATGCCGAGCACCAGTCAATTTCCTAGTTAGTTGATGTCCGCTTCGCGGTGGAGTTCTTGGTTTCCAAGCGTTGTGCAAAAGGCAATCACTATGACACGTGTCTTGCTAATAAGAATAAGAATAGAAATGAATAATAATAGTAGTAGTAATAATAATAATCCCTATATGCCCTTACAAAAGAATCATTGGCGAGCCCTAGAAGGCATCAAACTCGACCAAAGTTTTGGAAAGAGGGGCACCGGCACGCTTCCGCCTTGTGTGCAAGATTTGATGTGCTGGGGTTACCACGTAGTGCCTACTGTGGAGCAAGCACTTTTTGGGGTGCATACTTGCTCCGATGGGGACACCAGCAGTCAAAGTAGTAGCCATCGTCGTCGCAGCAGCAGGGATAGCAAGGTACGTGCAAAAGTACCACCAACGACTAGTGGTAGTGAAGGAGCAATAGCAGCAGCAGATGTGGCAACAATCGAGCTACCGTACTAGCAATCAGGCTAGTGCTACTGATTGTTACCATCGCAACAAGGCTACTAGCTACTAGCCGTGATGATGAGTAAGAGGTACTACAACTACGACGACTACAGCACTCTCGTCACTTTATTCGGGTCTTTACTTGTACGACTGCTTGGAATGGTTTTGACATTGGGCTCATGATAACGACCTTTCCGAAAATAAAGAGAAACATGCAACGTTACTCAATGCTGGTGGGGTTCAGGGCTTTGGGTAGGTGATTCTGAGGGTAATATAAAATAGAATCTCAAGGCAGGACATCCTCACATGGACCTTAGCCCAGTTGAATACATGCACAGGTCTTCCGGAGCTCAACCCGCTATGGAAGCCTCCTTTGGCATTCTGAGCAGCAGCTTAAGTATAATGCACAAGGAAACCTTAAACCCTAAACATCCCTAAACCCCAAATCGTACATCGGAAGCTCTTAACCGGCTTTGGAAGATCTGGAAACAAAGCAGCCTCGCCACGAGGTTCTTGGCAAGCTTGCCAATCCGCGCAGTGCTTTCTTCCAAGGCAGTTCGTTTTTCATAAACACTACAGCAAGGTTACGTAAAGTCATGTTACAAATATTAGCAGGACTTGCTTGTGTTTGCAGCAGGTATGGACAGATCAATCTAGCTTCCACGTAGTTTGACAGAACTTCAGGTGTTCAACTCCGCGGGCGATAGCGTCACAAGTTACATCGAGCCAACCCGGCCAAGCCCATATACTTATCCCATATACCAACCCAAAAGAACACATTGCGGAATGGTTCTGCTCTTTTTGCAGGGATATCTGCTGCAGGGTTCCAGAGTTCAGCGAAGCCACAACAAGGATCCACCTTGGCACCCTGTTCAAGCAACACTCACATGCAGTTGATGAAACCATACTAGAAAACCCCAATGTAAACGGGTGCAGATCCATACGGGGTTTCCGAAAACAGGGGTACCCTTTCTGGGGTCCCTCTAAGGGGGATTCGATTACCCATACGACTGCCGAGGAGGGGAAAGTGCTCCACGTGAGTCCGCGCTGTGTAGGTGCCTTGACGCGTGGTAAGAAGCGAAAAAGAATGGTAGCAGGCTTCTGTAAGCCCGCCAAGGGATTGCAGCGTTTGTCTCTTTGGGGCTTAGGGCAGCCTAAGAACACGTCCGAAAAAACTTTGGGGCCCGTACTATGTAAGGTATATTGGAACCTGCCACGTCCTTTAATGCGTTTCTATATCGCATATTCCATAGGGGTCTGAGTCCAGATTTGCAGGTGCTATGAATGAAGACATGAGTGCTTAAGCAAGGTGTTGTTGATCTTGTTGAGTCTCCATCTATGACACATTCAAAAGAGTGGGAGACACTCTACAGGTAGCTTGTGCTGTCTGATGCGCGTGGTTCAAGCTGCCCGACCAAGCCCTTGCCCCTCAAGCGTGCCCATACCCAAACCCCGTCAGCAGTTGCATCAGCCATGCGTTCACCCGAGGAAGCGTGACTCTAAACACTATATAACCCCCCTCATGCAATCTTCCTTGTGCTGTTGGACGTTGTTGATATACCGGGTAGCATCAATGCCATGCGCCTACCTCTTGAAAGGACGTGCGTGCTCGCCTTTGCATCTCGGCTCTCGTGCAGTGCTACGGTAGGCCGCAAAAACGAGCGAAACTGCTGAGGCGATGTCTCAATCTGTGCATGTGTGCATAGATTTCGGGCAAACCCGCCCCCCCAGCAAAACAAAATTACCAACCTGTTCAGAGCAGGTTGTTAACGTGCTCCTTCAGTCCTGGTGATCCTGAAGTCTTGTAATGTATCAGTGTCATGAGCTGAAGGCCTGAAACTGCCAACACATCACAGTGGCTCTGGGTGACTTTGCAAGAACCGCTGAGAGACACTGTCTAGCCGCTCTGCGGTCAGACTGCTGGTATCTCGTGATGGTGCACTCTACACGCTTCAATCTTGGGGTTAGCGAAGCGGAAGAACCCATCCACATAGAAGGACCTTTGGAATGTTAGTCGCCACGACCACAAGTTTGTAAGTTGTCCACAGCCCAAACAACGATGGCCCAGCAAAGGCTAGCGGGGCGCTGCTTACCGCTGTGGCATTTGGCCCTTGGGCCTTGAGCAGCCGGTGCAGCAACTGGATGAGGCTGTGGTCCTCGCCGCTACCCATGCCACAGGCGTGTGGCTTCAGAAGAATTCGCACTTTGCCAAAGAGGGGGGGGCTGGGGGGTAGGCCGCCTTTCGCTAAGCTTACTGCGCTCCTCTAGAGAGTGTGTATCAATGTTTGAAGGAGCTCAGGCTTTTCTTGTTCGGGTACCTTTTCAACTTTTCGCATTGCGACGGGTCTGGGTTCCCTCGCGTTTTCTATAGAGGGCCAGATCAAGCAGCAAACGTTGCTTCTCCTCTTTAGGGAACTCCCCCAAATCAAAAGCCACTGAAAAAGCATCCCAAACCATCGCGGTGGTGTTGTTGGCTCCTCCCTTCAATGTGCCCTTGTGCTGCCGTAGATAATCGTCAAACAAAATGATTCTGGGATGTCCCAATTGGGGAGGAGGATTCTTAATTTGGGTGGGGGGGGGGGGGGGCGCCTTATAGTCTGGCTCCCACTCTTTGGGTTCAGCTTTAGACTACAGCTGCAAGAGCTCGGCATTGTATCTCTGAGCATATCTCACCGAGGACCCCAGCTACGGCAGCCTGTCGAGCCCCTTTCGGAAATCGAATCCTGCCATCGAAAGGGACCCCTCCCCCCCCCCCACCCCCACTGTGAAGGCGGTGACGGCACCGGCACGTGGTGGTGTCGACGTGGAGTTCGAATCCTTGCCAGA